ATGTTGAAAGGATGCACCAAGGTGTAGAAGGAGTCTTGTCGTTCATCCGTCAGAAATTCTGGATTATCGGTGATCGACGGGCGCTACGCAACATTACTCAGCGATGTGTTACATGCCGCCGCTACAAGGCTAAGGCTGCCTCAGAAGTCTGCCCGCCGCTGCCGGAAGACCGAGTTGTTCACGAGAGGCCGTTCGCAACTACCGGTATCGACTATGCTGGTCCGTTGTACGTGCGCCGTGGTGAGTCATCTCCGAAGGTATGGATAGCATTGTTTGTGTGTGCCACCACCAGAGCAGTTCACTTGGAGGTGGTCGATAGTTTAAGTACTGAGTCATTCTTGATAGCATTTCGGAAGTTTGTCGCGAGACGTAGTTTGCCGTCTCGGATCAGGTCTGACAACGCTACAACGTTCAAGGCGGCATCTGACAAACTGAGTGTGCCATGGATGTTCAATCCTCCAGCTGCACCATGGCATGGAGGCTTCTATGAGCGAATGGTTGGTACAGTGAAGAGTGCCTTGAAAAAGGTAATGGGAACAGCGTTTCTGAAGGTTCAGGAGCTTGAGACCATCTTGTATGAGGTTGAAGCAGTGGTGAATAGTCGTCCGCTAACTTATGTGTCTGATAGCCTGGATGAGCCACCAGTAACCCCTGCAATGATGATGGGTAACATTTGGATGTCGTCAGCGAAGCCAGCAGGTACCCCGGACGCTGCGCATATGTCAGCGAGATTGCGTTACCTCAGTCAGACACTGAAGCATGTCAAGAATCGTTGGGAGATGGAGTACCTAAGTCAGCTGAACAAGCACCAACAGACCATGTCGCGCCCTTTAGCTGTGGGTGATGTTGTCTTTGTTCTCGATGATACCAAGCGCAAACAGTTCTGGCGTTTGGGACGGATCATCGAGTTATTCCCTGGTCGAGATGGCAAGCGTCGTGTTGCCAAGGTTAAGTTGAGCACCAGTACCCTGTTGAGGCCGATCCAAAGGTTAGTGCCATTAGAAGTATCGTCACAGGACGTGGCTCCTGGGCTTGCCGATACCGCTCAACCTGCTATCGTCCCTCAGCAGCCAGCGTATGAACCGCCAGCACCGTTACCACCACCACGGCAGCAGGAGATGACGCGTTCTGGGCGCGTAGTCAGAGCCCCGGATCGTTTTTGACTTGTGTGCATTGTTGTACGGCGGTGAGAAGCCCTTTGGTGGGGAGAATGTTGTAAACCACCAGTTCTCAATTGGGAAAGGCCTTCGCGCTTATGGCATTGTATTCGTTGAAATGTTGTATTTCGACTCCGCCGTACCGCTGATGTTGCTGCATGGCATACGCTATATGCGTTGTGTGCGTTTTGCTGTATACGCTGTTATGTCCAGTTTTATATGCTTATGTTTTGCATGTACGCTGTTTCTGCATGCTATAAATAGCTGGTGTTATTAGTGTTCATTGTTAATTATCAGATGAAGTGAAATATACTGTGTAAAGGAAAAGAGTTGTCCTCGTGCCGTGTGGTCGTACGATCCTGACAATTTAGAGAATCTTGCAGGGTTCACAACAACAAGTATAATGGAAGTGAGATAATGCATGTAACCTCGTTCTAAAATAGTTAGTGCATGGCAGGGAGGGTCTTATGGCTTGTTTGTGCCCTTCAGGTTAGCCCTCGGGCCTACGGCCCTCAGGCTAACCTGTCGGGCACTAACAAGCCATAAGGCCCTCCCTGCCATGCACTAACCTATAAGTAACGCGACACTCGACAAGAAAATCATGCAGGTGCTAGTATACCAGTTCTTACGGACGCCTGATTATTGGTAGTTAATTATTTTTAATCCTATGATCATGTAACCCATGAAGGACCGAGACCAGAGTAAATCCTTGCCCCCAAATAGGCACCGGCGGATAATGCCGGCAGAAAAATTGGCAGAATTCGGTACATTCTCTGGTAAGTTTCATGCATGTTTGGTATTTGGATAAAGAAATGGAGCAGAATTCGAGGAATTGCCCGCCATAAGGTTTGTATGTTTTTGCCAATTTCACTGCTTTTCGAGCAGAATCCGCCGGTGCCTACCCCCAAACCTTACCTGCACTTGCAGCGTCTGAGTGCGCCCAGAAAACAATCCATATAGCGAGGACGAGACAGCTCGAGATAGGATGATCCATGATAGAAAAGCTGAAGACAGGAATGGTATTACAAGCCTAAACGTTCCAGAACCAGCAACATCCTGGTTAAAGAAAAAACCAACATCATAAAAGTCAAATCAAAGCTCTGCACACGTTCATCGTGGCTTTTGTTTCGAGGGACCGAGTGGAAAACAGATGTGCATACGAGAGATGTACATATGAGAGATTTACATATGAAAGATGTACATATGAGAGATTTACATAATGAGAGATGTACCGTTACATAATTATGCAATTTCCGGCAAACACGCGATACTGTGCAGGATAATGTTCAAGAGACGCACAGATGAGGTGCACGCGATGAACTCGTGATCAGGGTGATTCAAGCATGATCAAGCAGTTCAAATTGACGCGTATTCATTTCTTGCCATTATGACCTGATCAGCTGCAAAGCCTGCAATGATTTCTTCTTCCAACTGTCTGTACTTTCTGAGGGCTGGTAGAAAAACTTACGGAGATGATTGCAACAGGATCTACATGGTCAGGGTGTGACAAAGTGGTGATCAGTCCGTGACGTCAGTGCTAGTATCCTATGGCTATGTTAGATGGGATTCATTTTTTGACTAAGCCATTGTAATCTAGCTTTACACTCACTGGTTCCTGCGTTGAGCGAGACTGTCAACAGGAAGTTCGATACCCTCCCGATCAAAGGACATGCTCAGCTCTGGTATCTCAATCACTTCCTGAGCATAGTAGCATCGGACAAAAGAAGGTTGTTCCAGACGTTTTCAGGTCGCACCGTCCCCTGTAGATAGACTGGCAACGTGACGGTCGACACGTAACTGGACACGTGACTTGAGCACGACTGCCATGTATGGAATACAATTCGAAACCTGGAAACGTTAAACCTTCGACACCACTCTCCGCTGAGTACACAGTGTTTTGGCTAGTTTACACTCACCCTCCCTGCCGTTGTTGAGTTATGTAGCTCCGTTTTACCTTCACATCCTTTCGTTTTTGGTAGGAATCAGAGACCCAACCTCTGGTGAAAAGGCAGTGCTGCCCGTGCTTTAAGCGAATTGAAATAAATGAATACAGCAACACCATTTACTGTGCGGCTCAGTAGGTGTACATATTTGGTTACGTTAGGGCCTGGAGAGCTGGGGCGGGGCAGTTGGAAAGTTAATCAGCTTCCCCAAGCTGAAATGATGAGCCTGGGGGGAAATGTATGTGGAACAAAATTCACGGGTCGCTTGAGACTCAGATTGAATTGTCAGCAACCGTAGGAACGCCACCACCCTGCAATGATCAAACGGGCAGATCCTACTTCAAAGGGGGTGGGAGGTGAATAGACCACGAGCAAAGGGGACAAAGACCGAAAATCCCATTCGCTGAATCCATGTTCCCTCGTGTATGGCCAGATGTGAAAGCGGACGGACCGTTTCCAGGCATGCTGCAAAAAAAAACAAACAAAAAAACGTCACGGTTCGCGTGAGACTCGGCCAAAGGCCTAGTTTTCCGCAGACCGACCGCTAAGTGGTCAAAGACCGAAAATTGCATTCACTGCATCCATGTTTCCCTCGTGCCACCCACGAGTTCCTAATTAACTTTGGGTCGCAGCACGGCTGGCAAAAAATCCTTCCGTTTCCAAGCAGGACTTAAACCTGGTACCCTCTGTTTCTCAAACACTGTCCTAGATAGGCCTAGTCTTAGACCATCCCACTATGTCACCCACAGTTTATAATGAGTAACACTGTAGCGTACACTGTTGTCAACAACCCTGGAAGAGACTCAAGTTTACAAAAGAGTGTTTTGATTCGCTCTAATTTTCTATCATGAGGAAGGATATAGGCAAAGAGGCAGGAGAGACTATACATGTAGGTGATCGTTTGTTTGTGCTGTTTGCAGCACAAACGAACCGGATACAGAACCAACAATCATCACAGGTAACAGGACAATCATAGGTACCTTGTAACGTTACCCGAGCCACCAGTTACACAGACGTCCAGAGCATTAGGCAGCAGGGTTAGCTAATCCAGCGCCAGTGTGACAGGAATATGCAGCGTTGATATGACATGTTCTGGCCTACTCAGCAGGTATATGCTTGGTTGTTTGGTGTATTTCAATACCCAAAATAAGCGAGAACTAGGCCTAATGATTAAAGGCCAATGGAAAAGCCACTTTAGAAAAGAAAGGAAGGAATTTGTTGATTCTGCAGATATGCTCTGATAGAGTGGTGTTGTGCATGACTGTTATACAGTAGAACATCTGTTTCCGTAGCACTTTGGGGCAGACGCTGTTCAGGAGGGCGTTGGATGAGGTAAATGTTCAGATGAAATCCAAAATCGTGCAAAAAGGCTCATACATGCACGATAATTATAAATAATATTGCTTCAGAAGTATTACAATTTTTTGAAAGACGCTTCACGCAGCTTCATTATGATTGCCTGCAAACGATTCAAATATTATTTTAGTCATGTAAAATACGCACATGATCAAATACTAGTAGGTCTACTTTGCATTGGCGGCGCCAGTGCAAGTAGCGTCTTAACCCTTCCGGATAATGAATACCACCACGGGTAATACCCCATTAATCTGCGTCAATTGATTTACCAATGTGTGGATTCGCTTTATGTTTGCAATTTCTGATGTTGTAGCCATACTTGGAGATCTACTCTTTTAGCCTCTCCTTTCCCATGCCCAATTCATTCCTGATGAAAGGGGGAAACCGATTCCCCCTATAATTCTCGCTTCGTGAAGCGTACTCTGTTTTGGAGGGAAAGGAGGCGTTCGGCAATTTCAGTTCGGATGTCCAGCTGCTTTGCTCTTCTGGGTCGGCAGGTGCATAAAATTAATGTGACATGGACAATATTATAATTATACACGCCTCCAATGTCGAGATGGTAACCACGCTCCATTGTTATACTGTGAAAGTAATTAACCTTTATATACCTTTAAAACAGTGCGTGGGAGAAGTGAAAGAAAAACATTGGTTACCATGATGAGTGGCATGGTAGGTTAGGAGAAGGCACGAGAAATGAAATATGTAGCTGGGGAAAAAGGTGACAAAAGAAAAAAATTAAAAAATCAATTATGACTACAGAAAATGAATGATGTCATTGTCAAAATGTAACTCGGATGGTGAGCCAATTAAATATTTGTGAAAAGAAGAAGGACAAAATGTTACAAGTTATGACTAACTGTCCACCAACCAATTTGTATCGCACTCACTGACTGTATAAGATCTGGTTACGTTGGTGGACAGTTAGTCATAACTCGTAACATGATGTCATTGTCCCCTACTGTTTCCTCTTAAACGGAGAGAACTTCAAATATAAATAACGTTTAAAAAATGAACACGGGCACCTTTTGGGTTGAAACCTTTATGAATGCCAGAAAGTGATTGAAAGGGCATTGCACTTTTATGGAATGTAAAATACAATTTAACGTTATTGGTGGAAAAGCCAGTGGCGACACGAAATATTTAAAGCAGATATACAGATTGAGTAAAGCAGATATATAGATTGAGTAAAGCAGATATACATGTGATTAAGTGAACATTTTTCGATCCTAAGCAGGCTTTTTATATCTATCGTAAAAAGGAAAGCAAAAGCTGATCATTTGTAGTATTTTAAAGAGGAACGTTCAATGCTTCGCTATCTTTGGAGTGTTGTCATACGTGCGTTCGTCTTGATGAGCATTCGCCTTGGCTTGCCCTGTTGAATTTCCGGACTCGGGAGTGACATCGTTGACAGGAAACTGAGAACGATCCAATACGTCGTATGGTGACGTCGGCTGGACTGGAACGGGCTCTGTTACCTTCCTGAGAGTGTTATATGTGTGGTCATTTGCAGCAGTGGGCTCCATCTGTTAGGAAGAGTAGAGCAATCAAATGGAAATTCCAAGCAAGGTTGATGCAGTTCCTGTCCAGGGGCGCATTACATGAGACACTGAATAGCGTTCAATTGTCTCAAATACTAGCTATATTACACTCCAGGAGTAAGGGTGGAAACGAGGTAGTACGTATATGATGTAGCATGCTCTGAGATGTTTGAACTTCAGCATTTGTGAATGATTCAAGGTCCATACAACGGATTAGGATCTGCGGTGAACTGATTTTGCGATCGAATAATAATTTTCAAAACTATGTTGGAGTCCATTCGAAACTGGGCAGGGAAAGTATGTTCACGTTGTCTCCTCAATCAAGATTCTACCGAAGAAAATCAAGTCACAAGAGAGAGAGAGAGAGAGAGAGAGAGAGAGAGAGAGAGAGAGAGAGAGAGAGAGAGAGAGAGAGAGAGAGAGAGAGAGAGAGAGAGAAAGAGAGTCGAGACAACAAGCGGCTTTACCCACCCAAGGTGATTGTGGATTTCCAGACTCGGGGGTGACATCGTTGACAGGAACCTGAGAACGATCCAATACGTCGTATGGTGACGTCGGCTGGACTGGAGCGGGCTCTGTTACCTCCCTGAGAGTGTTATATGTGTGGTCATTAGCAACAGTGGGCTCCATCTGGTAGGAAGAGTAGAGCAACCAAAATGAAAATGCCATACAAGGCTGGTGCAGTTCCTTCCCAGAGGCCTATTTCCTGAGACACTGAATAGCATTCAACTGTCTCAAATACTAGGTAAATTATACTCCAGGAGTAAGGGTGGAAACAAGGTGGTACGTATGTGATGTACCATCCTCTGCGAGGTTTGAACTTCATCACTTTATTCAAGGTCTATACAACGGTGTTAGATCTGCGGTGAACTGTTTATAAGACCATATGCTATTTCAAAACTATTCGTTCGTGACGTTGGAGTCCATTCCAAACTAGGCAGGGAAAATATGGTCAGGGTATATCCTCAACTAAGATGCTACCGAAGAAAATCAAGTAAGAGAGACAGAGAGAGAGTGTGTGTGTGTGCGAGAGAGAGAGGGTTTGTGTGAGAGAGATAGAGAGAGAGAGAGAATCGAGACAACAATCGGCTTTTCCCACCCAAGGTGATTGTGACTTTTCGGAAAAATATGCATCAGACGGTGAAAGTAAGCTCGAGAGAAAGAGAGAGCAGCGTAATTGTCTCCTGTATTATTTTCATTTGACAACTTCTAAATGCTGTCACGCAAATCCAGAATACAGTTTTACCTTGGAAAGTATCACTTCGTTGTCGTAAACAGACTCCACTGTATTTGCTGGGGTGGCCTGGTGCTTCCCAGCTCCGGCCACAAACTTGACGTTATCGTACTGATCTGCATTGAAATCTTGGTCAGATGTAGTCTTCATAGCCTTCTGGTGTGGTGATAGGGCGTTCTCATATGCCCCATCGTCAACACTTGGGTGAGGTTCATCTGCCAGGCAATACAGCTGCAGGGGTATTTGGCTGTCATCTGCGCTCTCATCTTTGGTTCGTATCTTTCTTTGGTCCATTGAAGCAGCAGCGAAAGTCACGGACGCCGTCTGGTTCATAGGCTGTAGTGGATGGATATCGAACACACTTTCATACGTACACATCTTGTCTACTGATTCAAGGTGGCTGTGTTCAGCAGCAGCTTGAAGTCCCGTGACCTGCGCAAATTCAGTGCATCAAAGAGAAAAATGAATTGGAGAGCAGCGATAAACTGTCCAAAATGAGATTTTCAAACATCCTGACAGAAAGGCGGAATCTTACTAAGCACCGAAACGTATCACTACAAGGATAGTAGGGCATGGTTTGCTGCTGTGTCCAGTATGCGAACCCAGTCCAGTCCGAATTGTAAAAAAATCAACACAGACCTTTCCAGGCTTTTCCCGTTTGAATCTTTCCCTCAAACCAATGAACAGATAAGAAAATAAAGAATATGAGTGCATGGCCCATACCTCGGTGGATTGGTTTGGGGGATCTTCACTCGTGGTGGCACTGGCTGTTTGAGCCTGAGTTGGTCTCATGGCAACCGGACTAGAGCTGGCGTTAACTAAATTTTCTGCACCGATCGCTGCATAGGCGCTCTCCGCAATTGCAGTGCCAGATTCTGCACGATTTAATATAGAGCAGCCCTGCAGCAAGCAACATAATCCGGATGGACAGAGCGTTTGTTATAGATGTCGCTTGGGGTAAATAGCGAATACCACTTGTTATAATGTACCCTTTGCCTCTCATGACTTAGCACTTCCGATCCAGACTGACTTAATTAAAAACTGTATGCCGGTACTAGTATTCACATGATGAAGAAGTCTCCTATTAGTATAATAATTATGATAAAGCGTAGAAAGTGGTAGAACAGCATCCTGTGGAGCAATCGGTATTCGATATCTAGAGAAACAATTTCCACCACGCAATTTCTCCAGATGTCAGATGGAGCGATTTGCAGGCCCCTCATTGTCCGTACACCATGGGAAAAGATAACACTTATTGCAGGCACTCCAGTGTCCATACGCCATGGGAAACGATCAAAGCAATACTCACATGGGTGGATGCAGCATCCTCGAGACTGCCCTGATATCCATCTTGTAGCCGATCCGGTTCGTTTACGACCGCACCATGGGCATTCTGACAATTTGATGGCCGCTGTGAAGGAATAAATATTTTGTCATAAAAGGAATCGTGTCATGAGTCAACTGTGGCATAGTCAAGGCGAGAATATAGGGAATGTGGAAATCAACACCATGATGTTGAATCTGGGTCTGATAACGGTACATGCAAGGGATCCTGAGAGAGCTTTATGATATTGCCCCAGAACACAGTTTCATTATTCAGAACGCTTCATGACTTGGCACATGTTCCAAAAATGTGGGTACACTGCCTGTTTGTGACTTTAATCTCATGGATTTGAGCTATTATTGAGAGGTATAGAACTTGCTCCAAATCCACGCATTCACACGAACATACACAGCACCACTTTCACGGTCCGGATGCGAAATGCGGTACTAGTGCCTATGTATTTGTGACCTCGCAATGGGGCGGTAAATCCATTTCTGGTTTTCTGGGTTCGCATTTGTATTGCATTTTCATCCATTGTGTTTCTCTTGCCCTGGAAAGAGGCTTGATTTCGGTTATTTTCAAAGCGACTGCTCACCAGAACTTCGTCTGAGTGGATCTTCACGCGATGGACCCACTTCAAAGGGTACTCACTTTCAGTCTTCTATCAAAACTCATTTTTACAATTACTTTACATGCCCATCCATTATGTAAGCCTTCCTGGTCTCGGTTTTCATGAAGTCATTAAGGAAAAGTCTATGACGCATGCTTACCATTTCATCCGCCGCAAGGTTGTTCTGAAGTACCATAGGACCTGGGAACAAACGATAAGTGTCACAAACACACACGGAGATAATATATCCTGGAAGTAAGGTCAGAGATGTTCCTTTCGGATATCTCAAAAGCGAAAGTTAGCGAAGAGAGGCGAAAGAAGGCCAAACCATAATCCAAACATAGACTACCCGTGCCGTATAGTTGCATGTTCAGTGAGTGACAATGTGAAAACTACTACATGTACATAACCGAAGGATGTACCCAGAGTGCTGACAGTGCTCAATACCACAAAGGCAGAGCGTAATACACAACAGAACAACAAGGATAATCAAGGCTTGCTTGCTGCTACTTCAAGTTTCATGCTCACGCAATCATCAGGCAGCAACCTGATGTTGCCTGTTGCCTGATGATTGCGTGAGCCTGAAACTTGAAGTAGCAGCAAAAAGCCTTGATTGTCCTTGTTGTTCTGTTGTGCACATGCACATACAAATCCCCTGTATACTCTGTGAAAAACTATAACTGTACTGAGAAGACCAAGGCGCAAGCCAAGTCGGAGAAGGCTAGTGAGTTTCTCGTCACTATCGCCGATTCGAGCACGAAACAGCTATATGTCACGAGACTGAGTAAATTCTCTGTATCCGTATTTCACAATTGGAATGGAAGCGATAACATCAGCCACTTCGGAGACATATTATCAAGATGATGAAAATGTGTCTCCTTTACTCTATCGCATTGTTACAAAAACCCTTCCCTCAGTTAATCCAGTGTGCCTCGACAGGTGTGACCACACACCACCCCCCCCCCCCTCCCCCCTCCCGCCCGCCGGCCCTCACCAGGAAAGATTATACTATTCACATGTATGCCTGAGCAAAATGAACAAGAGAGCTTGGAAGCTCAGGGCCCTACACTATGCTTTTATGCTTTTTTGCCTAGCTCATCGTACATGTTATAAGAACTGATGGAATTGTCTTTTCCGTTCATTGGCCACATCACTGTATTGCAAAAACGTTTCAATCGGTTTGAATATTATGAGTTAGGCAAAAGTATTTGCAGAATTTATTGCGGATTGTTGCTTTGCTCCTTCTTTAATTTTTATCTCCTTATATTGGAAATCAACAAATTTTGGCTGATGAGAAATAGAAACCTCTCTATTAGAGAGGTTAAGATGCACGTTATTTCCGACGTGACGCGCAGTTTCACGTCAAATTTGAAATCGATCGGTATTTTTGCTCTCACATGCATCCATTGCTCAATCATGCATCATTTGCCTATATGACAAATGTTGGCCTGCGATTTACTTTGTCCGGTTGGTACCAAGCGGTGAAATCAGCGAAATTAAATCGCTAGCGAACATTAGTTGATTTTAATACAGGAATCGAATTTTCTGGCCTTTTTTTAGTAATACATCTACATTGACCTGTTGAGCCAATGACGACGCCGAATGCATGGTTGCCTGTGGAGCACATTACATAACTTTACAGTCTCCTAAAATACGTACGTATCCTGTCCGACGGCAAAAGAGGCTGCAGATTTAGTTTTTCTGCGCGTCGACGGGATGTCTGCGACGCGAAAGTTCAGCTCGCGTTATTTGGCTCGCACGTCGAAAAAATCAACGCGAGTGACCTGCTGCTCACGTCGAAATTTGGACATTACATAACTTTACAGTCTCGTATATAAATACGTATCCTGTTCGATGGCAAAAGAGGCTGCAGATTTAGTTTTTCTGCCCGTCGACGGGATGTCTGTCCTGACGTTTACTGGGACCGGCGCTGACTCTGCCGATCACGGCGTTCTGGATTCGACGGGATGTCTGTCCTGACGTTTCCTGGGACCGGCTTAGACTCTGCCGATCACGGGCGTTCTGGACTCAACGGGATGTCTGTCCTGACGTTGCCTGGTACCGCCGGACTCTACCGATCACGGGCGTTCTGGAGTCGACGGGATCTCTCTTCCGACGTTTCCTGTGATCGGCACTGAATCGTTCGTTCACGCTTATTTTGGAGACGACGGGATCTCTCTTCCAAAGTATGTTTATGCTGACGCATCCTATCACCTAATCGGCGTCTATTCTAATTTAATTTCCTCCTCGTCTCCCTATTTCTTTCCAAATCCCACTCTACATCAGGGAGTCGTATGCATAATACGACGAATATTGGTACGGTACGGGACAGATACAGGAGCCCGCAAATATTGTGGACAGCTGTTATGTACAATCCTGTAGAGCCTTTGTAGTCACAGATACGGGACAGATACGGGACAGATACAGGATAGCGCCAGGCGTGACACAAACAAACAAACAAACACACAAACAAACAAATACCAAATTAAAGCTGTGTGGACCCTGGCTAGCGCCAGACGTTACTGAAGTAACGTCTTCTGCATAGCTACGGGAATAATTTCCCTAGTACCTTGTGTAGATTACTACTTACCGTGTTGGGAACAAATGTCAAACTTTCGTTGTTGCCGTTTCTTGCATACAACGAGGATCACAATGGCTGAGACGACAGCAACCAAGACGGCAACACTGGAGCCAATGGGTGCGGTGGAGTCCTGTTGCTCTTTGATAGGTCTCCCTAGATTATTACCTGTGGTTGCAACAACACTTGTGGACGACGCAGTTGATGCGCCGTTTGTCTCTCCCTGGAACTCCAAGTTAGTTGTTGATTTTGGATGTGAGGAGGAGTGATCAGCATTCCCAGTGGTAACAGCAGCGTTTGTGGCAGACGCAGGTGATGGGAAGTTTGTATTTCCATTGCCAGTATGTGCAGGTGTTTTTGTGGTGGTAGGGTGCGTGTCGTTTTTGGTGGTTATGGGGATGATGTGTACTTGCGTTGTAACGACTGGAGTGGACTTGGTTGATGAGGAAGCTTGAGCATTTGTTAACGTTGAATGTCTTGTGGATACTTTTGTGTTCGGAGTAACGGAGTGCATGCCCGTTGTGGTTGATTTGGGAATTGGGGTAGCCTTGGATGTGGTTGCAGAAATTGGAGGGCCTACATATATGCAGAAAGAAATGGAAACAAAAAGAGCTTGTCTCAGGTAATGTTCATTTGGTTTCAAAGTTTGATGTTGTATAGACGAGCCTAACCACTCATGATAGTCCATTTCCGCATTACGTCATTGGGCACGCATATCGGAAAATTTAGAACCTAATGAGTGTTGAGGAATCTTGACCATTAGGCGATTTTTTTACTTTAGATAGTTTTGCAGAATACTTTATGGCTATTTGGTTCTTTGGCTCTTGGAGAAGCCGTGTTCTGTAATTTTCGATACCTCCTTTGTCCTTTTCAGTGCCGAAGCTGGGTAGGCGATGAGCTGGAGCCGTGGAAGTCACGATTTTTGACTGATCTGGTGCACTGATGGCTGTGCAAAGTCACAATTGTACTTCTTGAAGAATGGAGGACCTGTACTCTTTAGCCTAAGCAGACGTTCCCGGAGCTTCTCTGAGTGGTCGTAGGCCAAGGGATATGCACGTACCAGAGTTGAAAACGTGGTTGGCGTGCCATGGTGTGTCTCGTCGTGTCAAAGCATGCCGAGCTTGCGTAAAGGTGAGTTTCTCATACTGACATTTCATACTGACATTTAGTGAGATTTTATTCCTTGTGAATATAGATTATTGGGCTGTTCATAATACAACATTAATTTTGAGAATGCCATCCACAATGCTCGACTCTGGTGCTCTGCAGGGTACAACAGTTATTTATTTTACTTGTCACTGTGGAGAAGCTGGGTCATATTTCATATTATCATTTTCTTAGTATTGACTCCCATCCATTTTCTCTATACCAAACCAGTCAAATATTCCTGCATATTTCACTCCTTAGGGCTATATTGGCTGCTTTAGTATATTTGACTGCTTATGGGTTGCGCTGTTGAACGGTGCCTAGTGCAGCATGGTCACTGTATGAATAGGTGATGGTGCAACGGTTGTGCAATCATATAACCGGAATTCATGAGGTTATCGTTCTGGAATTCGAAATACGGACTGTTTGTCGTGATAAACCAATAT